TTGAGTGTAAAAGTGGCAAATGGAGTTGTTGTCGCAGAGCGATTAACGTGTGTATTGTTGGATGCTTAGTAGTCAGACTTATCTGCCGAGTTGGGATGTGGAAATGACCTCATTACTCGAAGCTCGACCGCATGTTATGTACCCGTTGACGATGAGCTTCGTAGAAATGTCTCAACGCGGAATGATTGGAACAATGCATGTTGACTAGACCCCGTTTGGAGAAATGCGTGAAGACGTGGTTAATCAGATGTCAATGATATTCGTCTGTTCGTGCTCCATTCTGCTTTAATGAGAACATCGCATGTTCCCATAAGAGGACTTTGAGGATGCCTTTTTTGATCAAAATTGAGAATTTTTTTGTAAGCGTTGATGACACTGCAAGGGTTGTTTCAAAATAGAGCAAGTTATCATTGCTACATAATGTCGAGATATCTGAGGGCAGGTGGTAACGTAAGCTGGTCAAATCATTGATTTATTTGCATGCATTTGTGATTTGCGTGACGAACGACGGCAGATTTGCTAAATAGCGTCAAGTCGGATTTTATTTGTGTGGGTTTATTTACGTGCAAGATGCAAAGTATAATGACACATTTTCGATGACAATATTCCAAGATAGAATTGCGTTACTAGAGGACAGATACCAGATATCTCTGGAGGCACAAACGTTGGATGCTTGATGTAGCAAAATAAAACTGATTTTTTTGACAAAACAGTTACAGTAATTGCGATTTGGGGAGACTAGAAGGACAGCTTTTTAATTCCGAATTAGCGGCAATTAATTTCGGTGTTCCGTGAGAAGGCTATGTACTCCCTTTCTAACTTTCTTCCATGTTTCGATATAAATTTTTACTTTGAGCGTATTACTGTCCGCCCTTGGTGACGTAGTGCTACGTGTTGATTCACATTCAATAACCTAGTCGTCGCAGCCTCTCACACACGACTCCCCCTGCACGGCATGTCCGTTAGTCATGCCGGATCTCCAGCTCATTCACCCCTCCGCATGTTCAACCCTCACCTTCCGCTTTTTCCATGTGGCCATTCAGACACTCAATCGTATCAATCAACACACCACAACTAGGTTGAGCTGTGCAGGAAGCGGTTGTGCCTCGTTCCCTCCGGTTTCCTTTATGTTAGCGGGCCAGATCAACGCAGTGGACTCGGCGTGGTTTGAGATAATTTGCCGGAACCCTCAACAGTGTTAAAACAATTTACGTTTCATTTCGATGAAGTTGCTTGGATGGTATTCCTCGTTTGCAGATTGGATGATCCTCTGGAGCTGCTAGGAACGACCAATCAATGCGCTTCCTCGCTCGAATCATCAATATTTCCTTAACAAGGCATTGCATCAACCACTACTCAGATGGTTATATTCACCCTCCTACACCTGAAGTGTCAGTTTCGAAAATGCGTTTCACTTTTTTGATGCATTGTTAAGCTATTCTTCGTTCTGCAAATTCCTAATTCGATCGCTATCCAACCTGGGAGAGCTAATTCGATTAAAAGTAATTGCGTAGATTTTATTGGCCCTGTTTGATGTTCACATGTGTAGGTCGACTTATGACAGGTACATCTCAGAAAGCATCTTAAAAGCAACTGGTGAAATTGCAAGTGGTAGAGAAGGTTTAACGAATCCACCAGGATCACCATGTGTGGGTGAAAACGCTTAATTTGCCGTTAATTTTATATCAAGACAGTAATTGCCTGCGTTGCTACTGTGGCGAAGGTTTAAGTTAAATTAGTTGAGGGACTTGGAAAATAGGAAACGAGACTTAGGTAATAGAAAGGCACAGTCTCACATTGAAACAATGCCATTTAGAGTGACATCATGTTAATGTGCTTGCATCGCAGCACGTCGTTGTGGATGGCAGGCGTGTGACATTGGCAGAAGGTATATTCGTTATTGCTGCTTCTTAAAACTGAGGTGGAGACGCAAGCATTGGTTGACAGCAGGCACTGTACACGTAGGCATTCATGTTGTACCCTGCATTTGCATCCCAGTCTGGCAACGACGGTCATAATGTTGGTCCAATCGCATTAATTCAATCTTCGATTCCGACAACTGCACGTTGCGATGACTTTTACGTGATCAAATCATGTCAACACGGTATACGTAACATCGTAACAGTGCAACTAGTAGCCGTGGGAAGACCAAGTTTCTTACTGGTGCTCTGGTTGGTTAAGCTACGTGACAATGCATGGTGAGATATGAGTAAATTATGAAGAGGCGAGTTTAGTGGATCTGGCATCAGCTGATGGGTCCTGGAGCAGATGCAAGACCGCGACAGGGAATATTCTCTTTGCATGGTTATCCACATACTATCTTGAATGGAAATGAAGGTGCAGTTCAGGTTCTTTGGCTTCCCGGTTTCTTTTTTGAAGAAAATCGTTCCACACATAGGCACAACACGAATAGTGCATCTACATGTGGAATACTAAGATTCAGAGTTCGTTCCACGATGCAATTGGCAACTCACATTCATAGTTGTAATCTGGGTTTGTTTAGCAAAACCTAGCTAACTAGAAGACAGCTCAAATAGTTTCGTCTAGCTGATCGTGTGGCACAAAACACAAGTCGAATAGCAGGACGGTAGGCGTTTGTGGCATTTAGTGTGCGAGAGGATTAAGGGTGTTGCAACGCGCCATTGCTGGTCATATTTCAAGATGCTGAGGTCACGTTGCGGGTGTGAAGACACTCGACATTTCTGGAATAACGCCTGCGAAAGTTGCGCTCCGGTAATGTGGACCTAATACCTTCTTGAATTCTATCTGAATTTTTGTACGCGGTTGGAAGTGTGGCCAGATGAAAGTACAGCCCTTGTGTGATGCGAGAATTGTAATTGGTCACGTAGTCAAAGTACGAAGTGTGTTGAATGCGTAGGTCAGGTCGGAATAGGTGATGGACTCTTAAAATCTTACCTCAGCGCAGATTCATGTGCCATGCAACTCACAACCAGCATTTTAATTTCGAAGTGGCGTTAAAATATGCGTGATCGCCGTCGCACTTTGTCCACATTATCGGCCATCGGTCTCACAGAAATCCAAGTCTGCATGTGAGTTTAGAATTGATAATACCTTCATTGTTCCCTATGTCTCCTTGAATCGCGACGAATAGGTTGGGCTTCAAACCTCTCGACACAATGGGGGTAAATAAAAAAAAAGAAGAAGTTACTAAGAAAAACCAGCTTGTTCTGTTGACTGACTAAATATGCTATTTTGACCTACGTAAAAACCGAAGCCGTTCAGCAACTAGTTGTGTAGTACTTGTAGAGTTCCGTGTGTTCCATTTTGCACAACTCCTTAGTGATCTTCATTTTTTACCATTTAACTGCTTTTGTGGTCTTAAATATTTCGATTCTGAAGCTGTAATATCATGCGTTTTGATCGATTTACAAGACCTGTCTGAAGTGGCTAAAATTTCAGGTCAGTATGTAAGAAATGTGAGTTCCCAAAGCCTTCGACTTCTCCCCTGCATACATTTATAGCATGAAGACATATTTTCTGGCTAAAACGTTCGACCAAAAAGATCTCAGTTAATTTATTAAACATAAAATGCAGAAGGTTAACATACAGGTAGTGTTGTACGTATACAAACATTTTCACAGACGCTAAAATGTAACTTTTTTTACAAATGCCTGGTGCATGAGTGTGTCACGATTGTCGAGCGAATGGAAGAATCGTTTAAATGTTAAAAAAAATAAAATAGCGCAGCGGCATGGAGCAGGTGTCAGACTCCGCCAGGAATGAATTGTCACAACGACAACGCCATCAAGTCCAAGTGTCGCCTTCAGAAGGAGGTCCATCTCAGGTCTTGGCGCAGAACTGTTCTAAGAATCGTCGAGTGCAACCACGGCAGCAGCACTCCGTCACGATGGTGTAGGGCTCGTATTGGAGGTACAGGGAGCAGAGGTCGTCGTACAGTCTGCCTCGACCTCTGAATGGGTTGTACGGGGGCAGTTGTCCACCTACAACCACAGCACCACACACATTAACCCCATCTTTGAGTACCCACGCCAAAGCCAAGCATCACACAAAACGCGTCATTCTCTTCGACGTTAGGCGCCACAGTTCTCACAACACTTAAGGCCAAATAACGCAGGTGACGTCTTAAGCTTGTCAATTGCGTGTTAGTCATATGAACTAGATCAAAATAATTAGCATTGTAAGGCTGAGTCTGGCTTGATTTCAAAGGCAAAAACACACAAAAGGCGTATTTTCCTCTGTTGAACGCCATACAGACTCTTCAGAAAGGTCTGTGGGTGGTAGAAATAAATCAAGTGGTCATCATAAATGACCTTATAGGGGCAAGAAGAATGAAGGAACGTGACGTCAAGAAGGTTAGGTCAAGAAGGTTGAAGTGGGAACAGGTTTCAAGCAATGCAAGTTTCACCCTTGCCCTGGCAACTACTAGTCGTATGCAAGCAAGAAAACGCACGGCACTAAATCTTGATTAGTTTTGTCTAATTTCCAATGCCTAAGGGGTACAATTGACTTCCAGATATCTATAAGCAAAACAAATCTACCCCATGAGTCACACAAGTCAAGGTCATCCAATGCAGCATTCACCGGCGGCATTTTGCCTTCTTCTTCCTCTTCTTCTTCCCAAAACTTTTTATCGCCACCGTAACGATCCAAGTGCCGTAGCTATTTTTGCTTTGCAGTGTCCCCTTTTTTTGTCTGGCAGCACACACATGGACGGTGAGGTACAAAACAGCGATCCACTCACCTAGATGCAGACCACGTTTTGTTCGTGGCCCCCGTTCGTACGGCGAAAAGGTGCCGCGATCACCGCATTGCAATTTGAGATTCACAATCAACTGGTAGCCGCACATTATCCGCCGCGGATCAGAGTCACCGCGCTTTTGTTCAACTTGGAGGTCAGAGGTGGGGGTGAAGGGGGCCTTTCGAAGGACGATGTCCTCAGCTGTGGTGGGGACCGACAACGCAGACTCAAGAGGCGAGGCCTCGGTGTGCATCGCAGTGTTGAGGTGGTGGAACACCAGAAGCAACAACAGTGGAAAATGGCCCGAAGCGTAGTCGCTATTCGGGTTGGTGATGAGGGTACTTAGGAGTTGCATTAGTGTTGCTTTTTTTTACGAAATTCAGTTGGCTGTGGTGGACTTGGGTTTAGCACCCATGGCTGTGGTGAATCTGATTTTATAGTCAAGACTGAAACACTATTGCTGCTGGCAGCCAATAGACACGAGGCGCAATTGCGCTAGTGCAAGTTTGCGCGCATCTGCGGCAGTAAACAAACGCACATAGCGTTTCGCCACAATCTACGCTGCATTCACAACAGCAGCCAGCTTTCCTTCCCACACACTTCTTAGTGCCTCCAAAGTGCCGCTTAATGCGAAAAAAAACATTACCTAGCTAGCGAAATTCAATGACTACTGTCAACTTTAATAAGTATTTATTTAGCAGTAGTTGGCGATCTAGCACATGTCGTTTAGATGCTTCATAGCTCACACTTCTAATCAGACTGCTGACAGTAAGAAGGATCTAAGAAAACAGCAAATCTTCTAGACTGCCCTCAGACTTAAAAAAAGGTTCCAAACCAGCCAATTTTCTTTTTGACTTGATAAGAAGCAGACGAAGTGTCAAAATTTGAATTGAATTCGATCCCAGAAAAGCAAGCACAGTAATCAGCCGACTTTTATGCCCTACTAAGTCACAAAAATTACATTTTTTTAGAAGTAGGTGATTAACTACAGGAGGTTTGTTTTTGAAAATTCATATTCCCATTTTTCAACGATGAAACAGATTCTTAAAGTTATGAGAAAAGCTGCTGAAAATAACTGGCGAAGGAAGAAACACAAGTCGAATGTCACGGATGTGACGATTCTTACTGAGATCACGGTGTTAAAATGATTTAAGTGATGCGCTGATCTAGACGACGATTGTCTTAAACAAAAATAGACAAAACAAAGCCACCAAATTTCGTCTTTAAAAGTGCTCTCAACGTAAACTCTTTGTTGGCTGAGGTTCTTGCGACACCAGGTGCTGGCAAAACCTTTCAGGCGTCAGCTAAACGCCCGATTATCTCTCAGCGAGGTTAAGGTGTTACCTCTGTAAACTTGTGTTACTAAAACTAGAACAGAAACACTTGCAATTCGATTACTGCCACAGCCCGAAATACAAAATATGCTGGTTTGTTTATCCGGGCTCTTGCGTCAGTGTGGTGTGCCAAATTTAAAGTATTTAAGCGAAGTAATTTGTGCACCTGTGAATCGCTAAAGTATCGAAGACAAGGTGACTGTAAGGGATTGCCAGTTGTCAACCTCTATTGATTTTAACAAACGATATTCACGATATTCTGGTATTTCTCAGGTCATAAAGGAGTCGTGTGAAGTGGACATTGACTAGTTACTTGAGTCGCCTTCTCACGAGAAACCAAAATAACATTCTCTGCCAATCGTAAACGGTGACTAAATAAAAACCGGTTTTTTTTACTGGTAAAAGCATTAACCTTTAATGTTGTTGTCAGTTGAGTTCTTGAAGCAAAACACAATACTCTTAGAAAAACACAGATCGCCTGCGTCATTTGTCCCACAACGCAAATTTGCACAAAACTGATCGGGGTGATTTAATTTGACCGCTGGTAACAGCATTAATGCATTTAAATGCTGTCTAGAACAGGTGAAACTGGGTAGACAAATTAGCGAAGACCTTTTCTGCGTTGAGAGCTCATTTAGAATTGAAACCTGAAAAGTGAACTGCGTAGAAACCCGGTCGGCGCTTGGATTTGCACTTGAGCAGTATTTGTAAAGAGACGAAGAATGGTTTTAATTAAAATGGACAAAGTAGGTTATTTTTGCAACAGCGAAGCTGCGTGATTTGTCGCCCCTAATCAACGCTTAGTTAGTGCATATTAAAAACATGTATCGGGATATTAAACTTGAAAATCCCATTAATCGCTAAATTTCACCTAGAGAATAAATGACTGGTCCCAGCCGTATACAAAACTCTGGCTAACGTTTCCAGAATTAACAAATCATTTCCCTTAGTGCTAAAAACTACATTTAGCAACGGTGCATTTAAATTGGAGGGGATTCCTCAACATAGTTGTAATTGATTTTGATTTCTAAAAAAAGTGGAAGAATGTTAGCACTAGTTGTGGCAAGTTTAGTTGTGTTAATTGAGGTCTGGGCATAAACGAAAGTGTCTTGTTGGCGTATTTATGAAATTTCTGTCATTTAGTTAGTGAATTTTATTCACTCACATGTCAAAGAAGTTTACAGAGGACGTGAAGAATTTAGCAAGTTGATTGCACAGGCTTCTTGTGAAGACTGAATTAATTAACTTCTAAGTGATTAGAGAAAAAAAATACTTGAAAATGAAATTAAAGACGCCAAAATTTCATAACAGTAAAACTTCAGCCCCGGGAACGTGGCATTTTAACTGCATAATTTAAGCAAATTAAACCAATTGAATGCAATTTGCTTGTCTGAGGCATTTGGGGTTCAACTGGTGCTGCATACCTTTGACAGAGGTGGTCACTAACATCAAAATTTAAACAAGGAAACAAGAATCATTTTTTATAAATGGGATCAAACCTTGCTAAAGATTTATACCAATGCACGAAATGCCTCGTTAGAAGACGACATCTGAGTCGTGAAGTACACTTCTCATGTGACGGTTGCAGATTAATCGCGAACACTGCTTTAAAGAACTGTCTGCACTTTTGCTAAAAATTATTTCGTTTTTCATTTAAATAACACTGTAGCAAAAATGCTAACTTTTGTCAAATTTGTAAATATTTTTGCTTGAAGTGCAAATAAGCAGCAAGACTGTGTTAGCAGGTTGGGGAATTCGCTGTGATCGATGGAACGAATGAGATGTTAAAACCGTTGAGCTTTTTGTCTGGGGGGATTCTTTAACCCACAACAAAGAACCGTGATTGTGTGGAAGCAGTCATCATCTTCGTAAACTTAATTGTTAAAAACTATTGTTTCTCTATAATGCTTCATTTCTATGGGAAAAAATGGAAGGAGAAATCTGAATGAACATGGTCAGGGAATACGACGGGTGCTAAAGGAGTCTAAAACGCATTATTATTGCTTGGCCAGACACAAAATTACGCTTTCATCCAATGAAGCGATTCAAACCTCAACCTAGTTTCTACAATTTAATCTTTGTGCTTTCGGCTTCTTCTTGTGTTGGCAAGTTGGCGAGCGACTAGAATCACGGCTCATGTCATTCCAGTCTGTCAAAACGCCAGGATCGCACGGATCGAGTTCTGCCATGTGCTCAAATTGCGTGTAACCGCAAAATACAAAGTGCCAATGTAAGGTCACTCGAATAGACTAAAGTACATCGAAGTGCTCTAAAAGCAGGGATGAGATTCCACTAAGCGTTTAAGGCTTGTTGTGTTTCAACTTCAACACCAAGACATGTTTTACCCTCACATAACACAGCATGTCGTGAATGTAGCTTGCCAGTTACCATGGTAAGTAGTGCGTCTAAACCCAGGTTACTCCAAAAAAGCCTTATTTAAGGTAATTGTTGTTCACAATGCATTCAACTAAATGGCAGTTGATAATGTGATTTGAAAAGAAGCAGCGTTTCAGTCTAAAGTGCATGCTTCTGCCGGTTTCGAGACTCAAGCACGAACTTTTACAATCATTCAGTGCAACTGGATCAATTATTTCACGCAAAAATACAAAGAAGTCGCATGAGAGAGCGTGAATATTTGATCCAGGGAATAAAAAACAACTCACAAGGGAGAAGCACTTGAGTGTACGGGCGATGAGGAAAATTCACTCAACGAAAAATTACTGTAAGGATATGGGCACACAACGGATGTACGGGAAGAGGTGCTCTAAAATGCTGACACTAGTCTAGATGTTCATCGAGACGGCCTTTGTTAGCTTGATTCGTGGTGCAATGCACGTTTTTAATTTGAGCGCTAATGCTGCTGTGTTTTTAAGTAAAATTACTCGATTCAGTTTTAGTGTACGCACGCTTAAGCTAAAATTCCTTGTACAAAACAATGCCCTCATAACGTGCGAGATCATTGGCAGAGTCTTGAAATCCGGACAATTTCGCTGCCCCAAACACTCAGATGGAATTCGAGGAGACGAAGGTTTAATCCGGTACATTACGCTGTTGGGGATTTTAAATCATTCCTGCCAAATGCGTGTTTGATTTAGCTGCTTTTGTGCAACGCCCTAAAACTGTTTTTTTTTGAATTTGCATCCTTGTGAATACAAAAATTACCTACCTTTTAGCAACTCTTTGGACACATGACTCTGTATCTTGATTAAATTTGCATATGGCTACCAAGACTCGTTGTTATTTGCGACATATGAGTGGGCGGGTATGGCTGAACGTCTCGAATTGAGAGAAAGTTTTAAGTAATGGGAGATTTAAGTCGAAATTATGCCTCACAATTGAAATCCTCGCTAAAGATTTTTATTTGAACCCAACTTAAACTGAATGTAAAAGAGAATTGCTGCCTTTACCATCCCGCGGTGTTAGTTTTTCCGTTCGTGGTTTATGCGAAGGAACAATTCAACGTAGGCTGGTTCACACTGAATGCAGTGTATTGGCTCACATTGGGGTATGAAAGTGTATTCGAACCCTTCAACAGGTGATTTGATTGGCTGATAGAAGAGATGGACTTTTTCGTCGGTCGACCGAAAGTTGTGGGCGGATTTGCATCAATATGCGTTCATTCTGACCTTAGATTTTTGCGTTTAATTATAGCACACCAAGCCACCTTGCTGCAATTTTGCTTCACTGCTCCCTAAATTGAATAGACATCATGCTTTTTGGAAGGTTACGAGACTGAAATTTCGTTGATCGTCGCCATGTTTGAACAACTAAGGTAAGTTTTCAAGGACGTTACCCAGGCTCTTTAGCTATCGATGTATGTAAAACCACTTACGAACCACGGGCACAGCAAATGCTTTGCTATCTACTTATGCTCGTTTAATACCTCATTTAAGCTGTGTTAAGTGATTTTTTTGCCAGGTTTGTAACTATTCATTATAATTGTGTATTTAATATAGTGTAGAACATAACATCGTCAAGTCAGATGTAAATAGTTTTATTGACATGCAATCACGCCTGTCTT